CTAGGATGAAACTGACCCATCAGAGGAAGTGGAACTTGAACCCACCTATCAAGCCAAGGAACATTCGTCATCACCTGATTTACCACATCCAGTAAACCCGCCCATAATCAGACACCGCATGAAACGATCATATTAACGTGTATTCACTTTCCCTGTCATGATATCTGATGTCACTACGCCTTCAAGGACCACACAGGAGCCTGACCATGAAGAACCCACCCCAAAAAACAAGTGCACGAGGCGTTCTACGAGCTAGACGACACCACCACAGTGAGGTACCTCCCTTGCATTTGCATCCATGTAGTCTAGTTTAGTTAATCTATTTTTCATACATTGAGGACAATGATTCCTTCAAGTTTAGGGGAGGTATTGTTCATACTTAAGAATTTGCATTGATAATGTAGCAGAATTTTGCTATGGCATTAGTTATGTTGAATTATTTTTTTTAATAAATTTATGATGCCCGATGATGATGAATTTTTGTTATGGTTGTGATTGAATATATATGACTATTAAGATTGATAGAACCAACTTTAGGACTTGATTCTTTATGATTCAATGATACACGATTGCATATTTTCTATGTTTAAGGAACTTCAAATTCTTCATGAAAAAACTTTTGCATACTGCAGCATAACTTGATGAATAATGAACTTAATTAATAAATGATGCTTGAAAGGCTTAATTAAACTCCCTTATGTTTGTGAATTGTGTTGCATTGTAAATAATCGGTATAACTGTAGAGGGGCACTCATCTTTTCTATAGCATTACCTGTAAACCCCTTTCTAATAAATGGCAGCTATAGCATATGAGTGACTGAAAGTAGTCACGAGATGACTCTATTTAATAGGCTAGGGAATGGGGTGTTTGCTCCACTTAATTTTCAAGTATAGGAAAGTAGTTGTGATAGGTTGACTACCCTCTTAGCAGTGAAAAAATTTACTTTAAAGAAATGGGAGTAATTGTGTGCTTAAAGGTTAAAGAAATGCTAAAGCAGAATAGAGGATTGCTTTAAAAAAATTCTAACTTTGTTAAGCATAGAATGGTGCAAAGGATCTTGTTCTAGGGTAAAGTTCTTGATGTCTTGACCTGTCTAGCATGTTGAAGTCAATTGTTTTTTAGAGCTGAAATTTTATCCTATATCACTGCCTTGATTCAACTTTTTCCATAACGTTCTTTTCTGCTGATTACTATTTTTTGCTTGAGGACAAGTAATAGCTTATGTTTGGGGGTGTGAAACCCCATAACAAGGTTGTATTTTTTATCATTTCACTTAGGTTATTTGTTGTCTAAAAGTTCATGTCATAGAATTTAGTTGCATTTAGGTCATACAATTGCATATGGTGGAAATGTTTTGCTGCAACATATTTTTAATGCCAAAACTGATGCTGCTAAAGGGAAATGTCTTGTTTTGTTGGTATTGTGCAAGTAAAAAAAGCAAAAAATAAGTAATAGATTATTGTAACATTCTAGATAAGGAGATCTAAAGGATTGTTGAAGCTATGAAGATGAAAAGTGCAACAATAATTTTGGATAGCAATTATGGGTACAAAAAAGGATAAAAGAGTAAAAATATCAAGTTGCAATGTTGTCCAGTCACACGTTATGCACTGCCATGCTGTACTTTTGTGACCACACGCTAGCCTGCCCTATTTTCACGTGAAAGGTATGAATTATAGGGTACAAAATGAATTTAGGGCCTAAAATTCTAAAAAAATCCCTGGTATAAATACCTAAAGATACCCTACATTGGAGAGCTTTTGAGAAGTGGCCTAAGAGAGAAGAGTAAAAGACGACTACACCAAAGCTTCCATTTTTCTTCCTTTTTCATCTTTTTTGTGGTGTCCTCCATAGTTGAGATTCTAAGGGTTAATATCTAGGACTTTGAGAGAGACTAGCTTGTTAAGGTGATTCGAGGCAGTAGGCCTAAGTTACAACAGTAGCTCATATTGGGAGTCTTCTTTTTTTCCTTTTTCCTTCATTTGAATATCCTGAGTGGGTTTGTACTTAAACAATGATGATGGTTGACCTTAGCCCGCCATGAACTAATTTATAAGGCAAGGGTTTTCTTGGATAATTTTTATTTTGTGTTAATGAATGGTTGAATGTTTTATGTTTAATTGTTGCTTTACTCATTGTTTACATTTTAAACGCTTACTATTGTAAGAGCTTTCAAAAGTTAGCCAATTGCTAAGTATATATGCTTAATATCATAGTTAGGCTAGACTAACATGAGCAATGGAACTAAACCGCGATGGTGAGGTTCTAATCCGCCATAGAGATATGGAGAGGGCTTCAATGACTAAAAGGGTAGAGCGCATTCGATAGGAGTGTGCTACAGTTTACATTGAGAGGTATTGTCGTAGCATTTTTCTGTCAAGTTCCTCACTAGAGATAGCCAAGGAGCACTAATAGAAACCCTGTCGAGCATTATGTTCATAAAATACAAAGACCATTCTGGACACAAATTATTAATTGCCATAGCAAATCCAGCCAATTACCCCTATGAAAGCTTGATTGTGTGAGGTTGTCAAGTTTTATTTCATTCTCCAAAGATCAATTTATTTTTGCCGTAGCATTCTTTACTTAATTGCCACAACATTCTTTACTTAATTGCCACAATACTCGCCACTATTTGTCATATCATTTCATTTTAATTCTTGCAACATCATTTTCATACTCCTTATACATACCATTTGCTACAGCTTTTTTAATCAATTGTGTATACTATCTGTATTTAGTTAATCTAGAATAGTGCCTAAGCTTTACTCGAAGTCCCTCCAATGTCTGTGGAGATGATACTCACTCACTACTATATTACTTGTTCGATTGTGTATACTTACACATATTTGCGTTCCATAACATAGTACATCACACACGCAACAGTATGTGATTCGTGCATAGCACCAAGGTAAGTACTTAGGTAGCTAGCTAGGTGAGTTTTAGGTAGCTAATGTCACTCCAGCTGCTTTTAGTCTTCAGCTTAGTTACTTAAGTCCTCAACTGCACTCCAACTAGGTTCAGCTCCCCTCTATTTCCTTTAGCTAACCTTTAAGCTCCATTAATCTCCTTTGAGCTTCCTTAAGCTAAGTGAGTTAGCATAACATGTTCACGAGCTAACATGAACTGCCAAAGCTCGTATTCTATGTTCATGAGCTACCATAAGTTGCTTTAGCTTCCAATATACCTATGTAAAGCATGGAAACATATGTTTAGAGATATAATGAACTAAAAATGCAATAGTAACATGCTACACGCTTAACTATTGAATGCTAATGATATGCAGACTTACTTTAACAATGAGAAACATAACAATTGCATGAATTAAACTAAGTAAAGATGTGATTTCATAGGTTATACTTGAATATCATATAGTATACAAGTGGATGACAACACATCGATATTCAAGTATAGTCTAAGGTGTCGAAGAATGTTTATGTCACATGTAATGCATAAATAAGCAAATAAAAAATTAAATAAAGAAGAACACCCTTAGATTTAATTGTTTTATCTTAGTTTTATATAGGATAAAACACAAATTTAGTCACCCTATTATTACTTTAGTTATATTCTGGTTATCTAACTATTTTTTTAAAATTATTTCTAAAGTTATGTTTTGATTTTATTTTGGTCATTTGTTGTTAAAAGACTAAAATAATTGTTGATGTGACATAAATCTTTTTTAATGATGATATTATCTTATGATGACACATCAACATCAACGTTAATTTTTTTTAATTGCATGTGATCAAAATAAAACGAAATATAATGTCAGTGATGATTAAAAAAAAGGTTGGATGATCAAAATGAAATCAAAATGACAGTTGGATAACTAAATAGATAGTTAGATAACTAAATATGTAGTTTAGCCTTTTATATAAAATGTTTTTTCATTGATATAGGCGAGGAGATTGAGACTCAATCTGAAAGTTTGAGAACCAATATGATAGATTATTCCACAAACGATTCTAAATGCATCGATAAACTGTCAATTCTAAATGCATCGATAAAATGTCATAAAATGAGATCTTACTACAAAAAGATCGTGAATCTTTCCTAATCAAGAGATACAACTTGATGAATATAATACAAAATATCAAATTATCATAACAATTGAAAAAATCATACCATAAAAAAATGTGTATCATAAAAGCAAACAAAAAAGAAACGTTATACATTTATTCTGAGAGAAAATCAAGAGAAGACAACAAGAAATCATTGGATAAGACATCACTATAAGAGATACACTAAAATCTATTTTGGAGAGAAAATTAATACAAATTACATATCCTTAATTTAACATTATTCTTAAAATATAAAAATATACTCCTTATGTCTCACTAATTCGGTCTGTTATTGACTTTTGAAAAGTTAAAACTTTTAAACTTTTAACCATGATTATTTTTTTACATTTTAAATAATTAAATTTTATAAAATATATGTTTAAAAATTATTTTCTTGAAGGATTTTAAAATAATTTTTTATATTTTTATCCATAAAAAATTTTAAATAATAATGAATCAAAATTAAAAAAAATAAAAAATTCAATAATAAACAGATTGAATTAGACAAAAGGAAAAATACAAACATATATAAATATATAAAAACTCAAATTTTACATCAATATTTCAAAAGAGTATACATTAACTTTAATCACGATTCTTTTTTTTCCCTTTTTTTTTCTTTTTTTCCCTTTTTTTTCTTTTTTTTTTGAATTAGGTAACCAAATAAAGACGTAATATTTTTGGGACCAAATTGGCATTATTTTCAACACTTACCATCAATCCTATAATGCTAGGAGTAGCGAGGACCAAGAAAAAGAAAATTAAAAGAATTATTCATAAACCTGATAAATTATCGGGAAAATGTGCATAACATTAAAATCGTAACTGATGATCTGTAAAAGGAAAACAAACTCTTTATCGTCATTTCAAAATCTCAAATCTATAAGGCAAAAACAATGAAGGCTCACACGTTAATTCTAATTTACTTACTAGCTAACACTATATTTAAATTACATGAAGAAAACTACAATCAGAGACACGAAAGTAGCTGAGAGACTCGCAGAAGCCAGAGATGCTGCTGAGGTGCCCGGCGCCGGTGGAGTGGCATTATTATCTCCGGCGGGAGATGAAGGATTGGTGGGAGAAGAGGGGCCGTTGGTGGAGGATGGTGGTGTAGCCGATGACGGTGATGGTGAGGAAGAGGATGGCGGTGTTGCCATGGATGGTGATGGTGAAGGCGAGGAAGAGGATGGCGGGGTTGCTGTGGAGCTGGTGGAGACATTGATAGCCAGCCGTTGCCCGGCAGAGCAGTGGCCGGGGACGCCGCAGATGTAGTAGTGGTCGCCGGGCGTCCTGAGAGTGACTCTTGTTGGTCCGGTGGTCCAGTTTGAAATTGGATTGGTTACATTGCATGGCTGATAAGCTGCTCTCGATACCTCGAGCACATCATGGGTACCAGTAACATAGTTGAAAACTGCATAATTGATATTAATAATCAAAACCCAAAATTGACTTTGGATTAAATCACGTAAAAGAGTATGCAAAATCCAAGTTCATCACAGGTGTTTTCAACTCTTTCAAATTCATACCTAGAATGTCTCCGACCATGAAGTTCTTGTCATTAGCCCATGTTTGGTACATCGAAGAACCGTTAGTTGGTACAACCCATCCCGAGGTATCTCCAACAGTGTAAGTCGTCGGACCAGATACAGGTGCCGGCGAAACACCTTGAGGCGCTGGAGCAGGGGTAGACGGCATAGGACTAGGACTAGGAGCTGGTGGAATGGTAGGTTGAGGACGCGGAGAAGGCTGAGGAGCGGCGGTTGACGGCTGAGGAGCCGGAGACGAACCAGAAGCACTAACGTTGATCGCCAGTTTCTGACCGGCACTGCAATGGCCGGAAAACGCGCAGATGAAGTAATGACTACCGGTTTCGTTGAGGGTAACATTCGCAGGGCTATTCGAAAACATAAGAAGAGGATTCCCACCATTGCAAGAATCATAGTTAGCCCTCGTCACCTTCGTGACATCGTGCGCTCCATTAATGAAATTAAACACTGCCAAAAACAACACAATACACCATCAACCAACTCCCAAAAAACAGACGAAATCAAGCAAAAAGACTCTCTTCTTTTTCCTAATAACTTACCGAGTGTATCGCCGACTGCGAAAGTCCTGTTTGCTGCCCATGTGGGATAAGTAGAGGAACCTGGAGGAATAACCCAGCCTAAAGCATCGCCAACAACGTAATCTCTTTGTGCCAACGAGCTCTGGAACAAAGCTGCAATGGCCAAGGTTGCAATAAACACTATATTTAATCTTTTTTCCATCTTTCCCTCTGTGTTCTAAATATTCAGGTCGTCCCTGTTCTTACTCTGTTTCAGAGAGACTATTTTTTGCTTTAATTGTTCTTCCTGGCCTCACATTAATAGGCAAGAAGGCTTACGTAACGGGGAGGGATGTTAAGCGTTGGATGGATGACACGTGTATATGCCGGTCTACAAGATCAACGCATAGAATTTTAGTTGGGAAGTAGTGCAAACTCGCCGAGTTTTGGGACTTTTGGCCGCGTGGAATTATAGCTAAAGCCGAAGACTTTTTATTTTATTTTTTGTCTTGTTAGTTTGATTTGTTGAAGTCTATGAAAGGTTTTATACTTTGTACATAAAGTAATTTACTATTATTATTAGCTAAAAAAGAATTAAATAATATTCTTTTGGTAATAGAGTGGACCAAATATGTAGACTTTTGTATGGAAATTTAAAAGAGAGAAAAATTTAAATGTTAAAAATGAGAAATAATATTTTTTTAAATTAATATTCATACATATTTTTATAATTGCGTTCGAATAAGATATATTTTTCTTAAAAAGAGAAATGTATAATTTTTTATTAATAAATAATAATTATGATGGAATAAGTCAACTTATTTGGAAGAACAGGTAAGATGCAGTGTTATAAGGATTAAGTCGTATAATGGAGTAGTAATTAAGAAGCTCAATTCAAAAAGGTAATAATTTCATACCCGTGACCAGTACATAATGTGATTTTTTAAATCTTATTAATATATGAATTTAGATAAAAAAAATTCAGACTGATATTAATATTGATTTTGTATTTCAAAAATCAATCATATTATCAAGGAGACATTGATCGATCAAATTATTGATATTGTTAGATATCCATTTAAATTTAGTTTGTACTTAAGTTAGAGTTTATTAAAATTTTAGTGGTTAAAGATTACTCAGCAATTCGATAAAATAATAAGTAAATTATTATTTTAAACAAAAAAAATATTATTGAATTAAATTTTTTGATGATTAAGTATTGAACTTTATAAATATGGACTAAATCTTAACTTTTAAAATGATGAGAAAATTATTTTCAAAATATGTAATCCTTTTTAGATTTATGTAATTTTGGGGTGTCACTTGTAGAAGGGATGATTCTGTAGGGTGTTGAAAGAGTATTTTGAGATATATCGAATTTTTGAATATATATATATCGAGTTATAGATACATGAGATATCGTGTATTTATATTCTTAATGATCTCTAAGTTTATAATAAAATATTTATTTCTCTTATATGTGAAGATAAATAAAATTAAATCTTATATTTGACTTATATCTTATTTTATATTAATATCACATTAAATATTTATTTAGTTTCAAATTCTTAACAAACGTCATAAAATGTCCCTTGGTAAAAGCAAAGAAGAGGCGAAGAGAAGGACAATAGGTTTTTGGAGGAAGGTTGAGTGATTATTGGTTGGTATTAGAAGTTGAAAATGAGAAAAATTCGACCGTTGACCAGCGGCGAATGTGCGTAATGGACTTGACTACTACGGAAACTACACATTTTCTACATTCTTGTTTACTTTTCGATTTGTTTTGATTTCTTTTATATTCATTAATTAACTAAATCGAATAAATTAAAATTTAATAACAATTGTTCTAGAAATCTATTGAACAGGTTAAGAGTCCTTTGGGTGAGAAAAAGCTGGTACAAATTTCAAAATGAAATTAAGGTCTAACTAAAACATTTGATCTTTTTTTCTATTAATTTTATAATAGAAGTTATATAGTCTAATAAATAAACGACTAATAATAAACTTCATTCACGCGTATAAATGGACGATCGAACCTTTATTCTTTGGGTAAACTCATATTTAGTACATAGACTTTTTGGTCTATTTTAATATATAAACTTTTAATTTTTTAAAATATTATACCTAATTTCATTTTAATACCCACCGTTAAAAACTTAATACGTTTAGTACCTAAGATATCAGTTTTTGTCTACCAAACTTTCAATTCTTTTAAAATATAATGTTAAATTTTAAACGGCGTTCTAAAATAAAACAAAAACTAAAGTTTTTAACGACAGAGTACTAAAATGAAATAAAAATTAAACTTTAGGTATGGCTTTAAAATTTTTGAAAGTTTAAATATTAAAATGGACCACAACTAATAATTTAAATACTAAACACAAAATTTACCCTTATTTTTTAGAATAATTCTTAATAACGTGATTAAGAAATATGATCTCAATAAAATATGATCTTATCACACTTCATAATTGTATTTAAATTAATTTAATCAAGTGAATCGATAACCAAAGCTAATTCCATCTTCTATCCAATTTTTAAAAAATTCATTGTTAAAATTTGTGCGCAAATCTTGGGGTTTGGTGTGGTTAGAAATTACAAAAGTCCAATTTCATCATAAATAGTTAGTTGTCAAGGTTCAAACACGAATTGCATCAGAACTTTCGGTAAGTCAATTTGGAGACCCTTGATATGAACATTTTAAATCAAATTAGATTTGAATTTAAAAATATATTGATCCGGCTCGAATGGGGTTTGTTTTGTTTTTATTTGCATTAATTCCTCCATTAAAGGACTTTGTTGCACATCTTCACCCACCACGGCTCCATTCAGAAAGCTCAGCATTACTAAAACTTGACGTCACCCTTCAAATGTATACTAGTTCAACACAGATTTACTGAACCAATTAACCAAGAAATTGCATGTTTGTTATATCTATACTTGTCTTGTTGAAACCCAGAAAAACAACTACCAGTTTGTTATTTCTTTGGTAAATGATTTAGTGATATTAGGTTGAGTTTGTTGTTAAACAACAGTAAAACGAAGTGACGTATCCAGAAAATGAATCAAGAGATTTTATTCAGATACGAATTAACACTACAAATATGATCACTCTCATAATTAAACGAATCAACTCTAAACTGACATAACATGACACAAACAAAACAAGGGCAAAATGGTCAACATATTCAGTACGACAAAACCAAGGCAACGGACAGGAATAAGAAAGGAGGCAGAGTAGCAGCAATGGATGAAGCTGAGTTGGACCCAGGAGTTCCCGACGGCCCAGGTCCGGCGGCTGTCGGAGTTGTAGGTGTGGCGGTGGGGCTTGGAGTTGCAGGAGTGGTGGTGGTTGTGGGGCTCGGAGCTCCAGGAATGGTGGGAGCGGGTCTAGGACTAGTTGTGGGAGCAGTGGTGTTGCGGGTGCCATTTCTGACTTCAACGCTGAGCTTTTGGCCGGCGGAACAATGACCGGGGACAGCACAAATGAAGTAGTGATCACCGGTCCTGTTGAGGGTAATTCTCGCCGGTCCGGTGCTCAACGTAGATATAGGATTAGCAGCGTTGCAAGAGTCGTAAGCAGCTTCGGTCACCTCGGCAACATTATGTGTTCCGGTAGTAAAATTAAACACTGCGAAAAAAAAAGCAAAAAAAAAAAAAACAGTAAGCAACATGTACTCTAATGATCAAAATCCAGTTAAAATCTTCCATTAAAAAACGAATCTTGAGCTAAGAAACTCACCAAGAACATCACCAACAACGAATCTCTTATTGTCGGCCCAATTATCATAGAAATCTGAATTACTGGAAGGGATGACCCAACCAGTGGAGTCTCCCCACCGTATAAGTTGTACCATACGTACTCTGCAACAGATTTGCAGCCAAAAGTAGAAGAAATGCAGCCATGCTGATTTTCTCACCCATTTTTTTTATCTGAATATTTTGCTGTGTCCTCTTGCTACAGTCACCCCCAGTAGATCTCTCAGTTTGAGCTGTAATTGTGAGTCCTCGTCTTCCCTAATAGATTGTATATATAGAGAATAACGAAGTTTGTAGGAAGATGATGGAGAAAAGAAAGGGTCAATTATTAAAGGTCATTTCCCATGTGTGACGGATGACTATCAATAGTTTACTGATTTAGGGTATGGGTGGGGTGGTTGTTTAATGGCATCCACATTGGCATAGGTACAAATCCGGACTGTGTTAATTACGAAGAGTCAGTCACATGCTTTACCAATATATTTAAGGGTAAATTGCATCATAAGACTCAATTATTTATTATATTACAAATAGGTCATACAATTTTTTTTATTAAGCTAAGGTGATTACGAATTAGTATATGTTCTAAATAATCTTAACCATTTGACAATAAACACTCAATCATCCTATTACAGTCACTAGTGCTTGAACCCGTGATTATAGGTATACAATTTTAAAAACAGGTCAATGGAACGCTAAAAATGAAACATATATTTTAGAAATAAATTTATAAATTAACTTAATGTATAACATTTTTGGGTAAATTACACATTTAGTACTTAAATTATCAATTTTGGTATGTTTTAGTACCTATACTTTTAAAAAAATATACATAAAGCTTAGTTTTTGTTTCATTTTAGTACCTGCCATTAAAAACTTTAGTTTTTGTCTCATTTTAATACTCCAGTCAAAATTAAACGTTAAGTTTTAAAAAGAATTGAAATTTTAGGTACTAAAATGGACTAAAACTAATAGTTTAAGTACTAAATACGTTAAGTTTTTAACAGCGGTGTACTAAAATGAAATGAAAACTAAACGTTATAATTGATTTTTTTTAAAAAATAAAAGTTTAGATACTAAAATGGACCAAAATTGATAGTTTAGGTATTGAATGCATAATTTACCCAAATGTGTTTTTAAAATAAAGTTCATGACATCACTTTAATGAAAACAACTAATAAGCATATTATTTTGGACCTATAGATAACGTTATAAAAAAGTGAATGATCAAATAAAAATATAAATTTTAGTAAAGTAAAGGGATTAACATCAAAATTGAACCAAAGTAAAAACAAAGGAAAAAGAGTTGCTCAGTTAACCATCCTTGAATGCTTGGACTTTCAACACGGGAACCGACTGGGTTTTGTTGAACAATGGCCCCCTTCCCACTACTTTCTTTATAGCACTCCGACATCAAAGATTGAAGAAATTATCAAAATGGGGAAAATAGAATACAAGAAATGCTAGATTTCTTAAAAGAGATTAAAAGTTTAAATTATTATATTATGAGTGAAGA